GAGATCTTAATTCATACTAAGGTACATGCAGTGTTAATGACCCTGGTATAGTCTTGGTGTACAAGGTACATGCAGTGTTAATGACCCTAGTATAGTCTTGGTGTACAAGGTACATGCAGTGTTATGACCCTGGTATAGTCATGGTGTACAAGGTACATGAAGTGTTAATGACCCTGGTATAGTCTTGGTGTACAAGGTACATGCAATGTTAATGACCCTGGTATAATCTTGGTGTACAAGGTACATGCAGTGTTAATGACCCTGGTATAGTCTTGGTGTACAAGGTACATGCAGTATTCCCCTGTTGAAGACAATCATTAAACTTAATAAACTAAGCCCTTAACTCCAAGAAGCTGTCAGCTAGTGATATAAGATTGATTTTGACGACGCCCCTTGTCAGTGTATTACCTTGGTGAAGACGTTGTAATGACGTGAGTGCAAGTGACGTCACCCACTGCCCACACACACTGGTTCATGGGATGGGGGGAAAGTGATGAACTCCCACATATATGCGCAGTATTTACTGCTGGGGGCTTACGAGGGATACCATATATCCATGACAAGAGAGAGAGAGAGAGAGAGAGAGAGAGAGAGAGAGAGAGAGAGAGAGAGAGAGAGAGAGAGAGAGAGAGAGAGAGAGAGAGAGAACATAAGAACATAAGAATGGAGGAACACTGCAGAAGGCTTACTGGCCCATGCGAGGCAGGTCCTTATCAAAACGACCTTTACCTAAAGCTACCCAAGAAATAACTCCCGTACCCAATGACACCAATCAAACCCAGCCCCTCCCACTCATATATTTGTTCAATCTCTTCTTGAAGCTATCCAAGGTCCTAGCCTCTATCACCCTACTGGGAAGACTGTTCCACGCATCTACAACTCTGAGAGAGAGAGAGAGGAGGGTACCGTTTCTCAAAGACACTTGTCGATAGGCACTTGGCCTGTTTATTTTTTGTGTACTCAGTTGTGGTTGTAGGGGTCGTGTCACAGCTCCTGGCCCCGCTTATTCGGTGGTCACTGCTAAGTCCACTCTCTCTATGAGCTGCATCAAACCTCTTCTTAAAGCTATGTATGGATCCTGCCTCCACTACATCAATCTCCAGATTGTTCCACCTGACAACTTAATTACTGAAGAAATACTTCCTAACATCCCTGTGACTCATCAGAGCTTGCAACTTCCAGCTGTGACCCCTTGTTGCTGTGTCCCATCTCTGAAACATATTCTGTCGCTATCCACCTTGTCAAATTCTCTCAGTGTGTGTGTGTGTGTGTGTGTGTGTGTGTGTGTCCTCACATATTTGTGGTTGCAGGGGTCGAGTCACAGCTCTTGGCCCCGCCTCTTCGCTGACTGCTACTAGGTCCTCTCTCTCCCTGCCCCATGAGCTCTATATTACCTCGCCTTAAAACTATGTATGGTTCCCGCCTCCACTACGTCACTTTCTAGGCTATTCCACGGCCTGACTACTCTATGACTGAAGAAATACTTCCTAACATCCCTTTGATTCATCTGAGTCTTCAACTTCCAATTGTGACCTCTTGTGTCTGTGTCCCTTCTCTGGAACATCCCGTCTTTGTCCACCTTGTCTATTCCGCGCAGTATTTTATATGTCGTTATCATGTCTCCCCTGACCCTCCTGTCCTCCAGTGTCGTCAGGCCGATTTCCCTCAACCTTTCTTCGTAGGACAATCCCCGTAGCTCTGGGACTAGTCTTGTTGCAAACCTTTGCACTTTCTCTAATTTCTTGACGTGCTTGACTAGGTGTGGATTCCAAACTGGTGCTGCATACTCCAGTATGGGCCTGACGTAAATGGTATACAGAGTCTTAAACGAATCCTTACTGAGGTACCGGAACGCTATCCGTAGGTTTGCCAGGCGCCCGTATGCTGCAGCAGTTATCTGATTGATGTGCGCCTCAGGAGATATGCTCGGTGTTATACTCACCCCCAGATCTTTTTCCTTGAGTGAGGTTTGCAGTCTTTGGCCATCTAAACTATATTGTGTCGCGGTCTTCTTTGCCCTTCCCCAATCTTCATGACTTTGCATTTGGCAGGGTTAAATTCAAGGAGCCAGTTGCTGGACCAGGCTTGTAGCCTGTCCAGGTCTCTTTGTAGTCCTGCCTGATCCTCATCCGATTTGATTCTTCTCATTAACTTCGCATCATCTGCAAACAAGGACACTTCTGAGTCTATCCCTTCCGTTATGTCGTTCACATATACCAAGAACAGCACAGGTCCTAGGACTGACCCCTGTGGAACCCCGCTTGTCACAGGCGCCCACTCTGACACCTCGTCGCGTACCATGACTCGTTGTTGCCTCCCTGTCAGGTATTCTCTGATCCATTGCAGTGTCTTTCCTGTTATGTGTGCCTGATCCTCTAGCTAGCTTTTGCAGTAACCTCTTGTGAGGAACTGTGTCGAAGGCCTTCTTGCAGTCCAAAAATATGCAGTCGATCCACCCCTCTCTCTCTTGTCTTACTTCTGTCACCTTGTCATAAAACTCTAGTAGGTTTGTGACACAGGATTTTCCTTCCCTGAAACCGTGCTGGTTGTCAATTATACACTTGTTTCTTTCCAGGTGCCCCACCACTCTCCTCCTGATGATCTTCTCCATGACCTTGCATACTATACACGTTAGTGATACAGGTCTGTAGTTTAGTGCCTCATGTCTGTCTCCCTTTTTAAAAATTGGGACTACATTTGCCATTTTCCATACCTCAGGGAGTTGCCCAGTTTCAAATGATGTGTTGAAGATCTTTGTTAATGGCTCACACAATATCTCTGCTCCCTCTTTAAGGACCCATGGAGAGATGTTGTCTGGTCCCACCGCCTTTGAGGTGTCAAGTTCGCATAGCAGCTTCTTCACATGAATGTGTGCACGCTCGCGCGAGAGTTATTCCAAACTGTTTTATATACCTTAAGACACCTGCTGTCCCTGTTCACCTATCTGTAAGTAGGTACCTGGGTGTTAGCCGGCTGGTGTGGGTCGCATCCTGGGAGACAAGACTAACTTAAATTGCGGGAAATGCTCTGCATAACCAGGGGCTTTTTATATAGCATGTCATTGACGTCAGCTATGGTCTGTATACGTTGTATCATGTACGTACTTATAGAAATAAAGACTATTATTATTATTATTATTATTATTATTATTATTATTATTATTATAGAAATTAAACTCTGTTATCTTTGTCTATAATAAAAATTATTGGTTGTTTAGTTGGTTTTTATGCATTACTGAGGATGTATGTAACCTGTTCTCTACCTGTCAGCGATATCTTAATCTCAAAGACACGGATTAAACTGAAGCACTTGTTAGGGCATAATAATAATAACAATAATAATAATAATAATAATAATAATAATAATAATAATAATAATAATAATGATAATAATAATAATAATAATAACACCAATGATAATAACAGTAATAATAATAACATAATAATAATACTACCTAGGTAGTAGGTTGGTAGACAGCAACCACCCAGGGAGGTACTACCGTCCTGCCAAGTGAGTGTAAAACGAAAGCCTGTAATTGTTTTACATGATGGTAGGATTGCTGGTGTCCATTTTTCTGTCTCATAAACATGCAAGACTTCAGGTACGTCTTGCTACTTCTACTTACACTTAGGTCACACTACACATACATGAACAAACATATATATACACACCCATCTGGGTTTTCTTCTATTTTCTTTCTAGTTCTCGTTCTTGTTTATTTCCTCTTACCTCCATGGGGAAGTGGAACATAATTCTTCCTCTGTAAGCCATGCGTGTTGACAACACGGTGTTGTAAGAGGCGACTAAAATGCCGGGAGCAAGGGGCTAGTAACCCCTTCTCCTGTATACATTACTAAATGTAAAAGGAGAAACTTTCGTTTTTCCTTTTGGGCCACCCTGCCTCGGTGGGATACTGCCGGTGTGTTGAAATAATAATAATAATAATAATAATAATAATAATAATAATAATAATAATAATAATAATAATAATAATAATAATAATAATAATAATAATAATAATACTGCTAATTATAGTAATACTACTACTGCTACTAGTACTAATGGTAGTAGTATTGATAATAAAATAATAATAATAATAATAATAATAATAATAATAATAATAATAATAATAATAATAATAGGTATAATAATAAAAAACTCATTACCAACAGTTGTACTAATAAGCTAGTGATACTTATCATTCAAAGTAGTGTACGACATATAAGCTGCAATATTGCAGACACATTTAGTTAGTAATGGCGCCATTTCAGCTTCGAAAATAAAAATGCAACCTAGCATTTTTACAAATTTAGAATCTATGCATTTAGAATTTATGAATTTAGAAATTACACATTTAGACTAGACTTCGAAAACGGAATTCTTTGTATAAAAATAAATGGAAAGTGTGGAGGAGGGACAGAGAGAGAGAGAGAGAGAGAGAGAGAGAGAGAGAGAGAGAGAGAGAGAGAGAGAGAGAGAGAGAGAGAGAGAGAGAGAGAGAGAGAGAGAGAGAGAGAGAGGGGGGTGTTGCAACAACGTGAATATTATACAGATATTTAATATATATTTTTTATATATTGCGAGAGGTTAAACAAAATCCTTTATGCTGTTGAAGGGCTCTGGATCACAGAAATTGGCACTATCCCCCCCCCCTTTCATTAAGCCAGTTTAATTACCCAGTCTCTCCCATTACCCTAATTTAGTGCTTTTTCGTGCTAATAATAATAATAGTAATAATACTACTAATAATAGTAATAATAATAACGAGACAAAAAGGAACTTGTAGCCTGGCTGGCAGTTACCTTCACATTGCAATAATCAATTATTAGTTCTATTCTTTATGGACAATTGTTTGGTATTCATTATCATGTCTATTGTGTAAAGATAATAACTCCGGGTCGTCATGAATGAAAGATCAAGACTCGTGCATGTTTCTCATAGTTCATGACTTGTGTTACTCAATAACATTATTATAGACCAAATTATGTGTCTGTACTCACCTACATGTGATTGCAGGGGTCGAGGCACAGCTCCTGGCCCCGACTCTAGATACATTCTCTTTCTGCTCCAAGTGTGTGTGTGTGTGTTTTGAAGGGGATTGGGAAAGTTTGAGGCCTTTCGGTATAAACCGTCGTCAGGAGCTGCGTCTTTTAATTCAAATGATTTTAGAAGACATTGTGTGTCTTACGACGCTTTGAAGCCTCGAAAAGTTCTACACGTACTGCAGTGACTTTATACCGTTATTGTAGCAAGTCCAGCTCTCCAAGAAGAATTTAATATTCTGGTGACAAAACACCAGTACCAGCATCACCATCACCACCACTATCACCACCAGCACCACCACTATCACCACCACCACCTTCACCACCACCACCTTCACCACCACCATCACCACCAGCACCACCACTATCACCACCTTCACCACCACCACCACCATCACCACCACCACCACCACCACCACCACCACCACCTGGAGACCTTCAAGTGTATGTGCTTCTGGGAGACTAACTGAATAACCGGATGTATTTGTTGTGTTTATTATAGTGTTGCACTGCGTCGCACTCTGCTGTAAATGTGTATAGTTTGTTTCTTCTTAAAAGTAATCTTAATATGTTGATGATATTAGTCATTAACTGGGTCATTAAGAGCCATTAAGGCTCCATGTTACTTGTTAACTACCAAATGAAAATACAGTATATCCCTCCATGCATACATGTATATGTTCTCTCAGTGCACACACATTAAGAAACACACTTCAGAATATATACATATTGTATGGCTATTGTCTCTCTCTCACCTCCCACTCTGTCTGTTCTGTCTCCCTCTCGTGTGGGTCATCCTGGTGTTTAATAACTCAGAGTGGGATGTTCGTTCAGGACAAAGGTACAGCAATACCTGGCTGGCTCGAGTGTTGCCTTATGTTGGAGGTGGTAGGGAGAGTCAAGACTCCGTCATTGTAATGGTAATCGTCACGAAAATGTCTCCTGACGCAGGTATTAGTCAGTGACTAACACCTGCGTCATATGACTCAGGGGCTAAGCAGGCACTAGCCTACCCGTGTTGTGTATCGTTACCATTACAATTCTGCATATTTCCCAGGTTAGGTGAAGCATATGGGCAAGGCACCTTGCATCCCTTCTTACCTAGCAGTAAAAATAGGTACATATGTAATGGTCGACTGTTGTGAGTCGAGGCCTAGGTTGTCTAATGGGGCTTAAAGCCTACCGAATACAAGAAGGTTATTAAATTACTATCTTTAGATTCATTCAATACTTGAAGGTTTCCAGCAGTCTTGAGTTTGTATATACCGAGAGGTGTATATCTTTCATTGTATGTACGATGAGAATTTACTTCAATCTTAATTTTAGGGATTAAAGAATTCTTGACTGGTGGTAAAAAAGTGATAATGCAGCCTTAAAATAAAGAAGAGATTATTATTATTAGTAGTATAATTGTTAATACAGCTATAGCAGAGAAGGATATTATTATTATTGTTATTATTATTATTATTATTATTATTATTATTATTATGACATAGGGGCCATACAGAGCATCGGGAATGGAAGGTAATCAGGTTTTATCCCAGGAAGGTAACTCCAAATTCTTAAATCAAGAGCCTTTCGCCAGCCTCAATGAACCTCCACTTGAAGGTTACGAGGATGGTAGGCTAGGAAGCTGATAACAAGAGGAAGCAGCTATGTATAATGTGCACAGAGATCATCCTCACCACTGACCGGTTCCAGACCGGACCTTCGTTCAGCGTAGATTAATTATGATGTGGGATGATCATCTGTAAAATCTAATACGACTGAACACAGATTAGAGTTTAAATTACTGCTAAATTTAGAGTCGAGGTCTTTGTGCTATTTTTATTGTGTAAATTGTTCAATATTGTGTTGTGTAACGGAGACATTGATATTTTGGGCCTATAGAGAATTTTTTGGGGGTAATAAAAAAAATGTAATATAACCTAATCAAGAATTTAACTTCTAACTTATTATAGGTTAGGTTAGGTTAGGCTAGGCTACTTTTTTGATGGAATGTGATGTCTTGGGAAAGGGTGATGGAAAAATAGGTGTACATGTGTCTTTATGTTTGCGTGTGTAGGTGTGTGTACTCAGCATTGACTGAGGCCCAGTAGGTGGGCCCAACTCTTAATTATATATTACCCGAAGTATTAGTATGTGTGGGAGTATATGTATATGTATCAGTGTAAATTATCTGTCTGTAAGTATATGTGTGGATATTAACCTTTACTGACCTGTTTCCCCGAGGTCACTGTAGCAAGGTAACCTGGTATAACTTGCAATGTGAATTACATTTATGTACAAAGTTTTTTTATGGATATGAAAACAATGGCATCTGACCTCTGAGTACGACCTATAACACCTGTGTGACCTGTGGCATCCGGGTGTGAAAGGTTAAGCTTGCAAGCATCTCGTAATGTCACGGTGTCATCTCCTCCGTGAGTGACCTTTCACCAGAGGAAACTAAGAGTTTATCTTTTGTTTAGTCATTGTTAGTTGTGCTATTTTGTTATGTATTAGTGTTAGTTGTAATTGTTTCTTTGCATCGCTCACTGACCCTCTGGGATTTAGAGTTTCTTGTGAATATTATTCTGGTTGAGTCTCTACAGAACTGGGGAATATTGATGTTTGAGTCTTGGAAGACGACAGGTGGTGACGTTTTGCTGTGAGTCTATAATGAATTGTTCCTTGTATGTTGCAGACGTGAGGGAGGAGCCTGAAGGGGAGTTGTGGAGGCAGGGGCAGCCCGGAGACACCCTCCACCACAACACCACCACCACAGCAGTCCCCTACCACACCACCACCACCACCACCACCACTGCTGCCTCCAACCATGATTCCTTCTGGGAGTTGTGGCACCCCAGGCCTCCATCCCCCTCCCCCTCCTGCCCCCCGCACGGTGAGTCATGCACCCCACCTTCACCTGACTAGACTGGCTCCCTCAAGACGGGCACACACACACACACACACACACACACACACACACACACACACACACACACACACACACACACACACACACACACACACACACACGCGCGCGTATACACACACACACACACACACACACACACACACACACACACACACACACACACACACACACACACACACATACACACAAACACACACACACACACACACACACACACACACACACACACACACACACACACACACAGTTCTAGTATGGAACCCCACACCCAAGGAAGCATGATAAGAAACGGGCGAAAGTACAGAGGTATACTAGTTCTAGAGCTAAAGGTATAATCTACGAAGGAGGCTAAAAGAATTGAATCTAACGGCCCCTGGACGACAAGGGAGACATGATAACTACATACAAAATACTCTGAGGAATTAATATGGCAGAGAGAGACAGGCTTTTTGAGAGGGGAAAATAGGATCTCGAGGAAACAGCTGGATGTTAAAGACAGATGAGTCACAAGGATGTCTAGAAGTATTTCTTTCAGCTTCAGGATGGCTGGGAAGTGGAATGGCCTCAACCAAGTGGTGGAGGAGGGTGGGCAGACTGTGCATGTTTTTTAAGAATAGGTACTACAGGGCCCACGAGGCTATGAGCGAGTGAATTTGGCAAGCTGCATATTGAGAGGCGGGGTCAGGAGCTGAGATTTGACCCCTGCAGTTACATATGGGCGAGTACACACACTCAGCTGAGAGTACATAGTACACAAACAGTTGAGAGTACACAAACATACAAGCAACTGAAGATACACAAACAATTGAGAGTACACAGTATACAGTTGAGAGTACACAGACACAAACAATTGAGAGTACACAAACACACATACCTCATGTTTTCTTTCAGGGTTCAGCAAGTTTGTCCAGTTTTCAAAATGAATGACATTTAAATACACTGGATTAAGCTATATTTGTGTTTTTCTATTAAAGAAATATTTTATGAAAATTCTCTCTTTATAAAGATTTTGCCAAATATCATCCATCATGGTTTGTATCAGTTCCTGCGATGTTGTGATCTAAGAGTTGGTAGACTTCCTTGCAAGTACTGTTGAATTTAGGGTGAGGCAGGACGTTAATATTCTCTGTATTTCTGGCAGATGAGGTGAACTGCAGCAAGGTGCCTTACCAATACCAGAGTTTGCCGCAGCTACACGCCCACGCCCACCTGAGAGCCCAAACCCACGTCCACCCCACCACCAACCAACCTCCGGCTCCAAGCCCCAACACGCCCTGGCTCCCTCTGTCTGCGCTCGGACAAATTAAACAGGAAACACCTTTGCGGACGTCTACTTGTTTCTCCAAAGAGGGGAAACTCTCACAGATTCCTGACGTGGGCCCCAAACAGGAGGCCCGATCACAAGCACTTACTGTTGCCTCCGAAAAGGAGACAAAATCTCAAAGTCCTACTGTTGACTCCAAACAGAAGAACCGGTTACAAGCTCTTACTGTTGGTTTTAAGCAGGAGACACAACCACAAGCTCCTATTGTTTGCCTAAAACAGGAAGCCCGGCAACAAGCTCTCACTGTTGGCTACAAAAAGATACAATCACAAGTTGCCCAAAAACAAGAGGTATACTCACAGGATGCAACTAATAGTCGCCAACAGGAAACACGATCTTCGCTACATAACACTGCCACCAAGCAAGGGCAAAGACCCCAGCTACCGACAGTGTCCTCTGAAACGGAAACTTGCTTCCAGATCTTGTCTAACGACTTTAGAGGAGAGGAGACGACCCACAGGAACTCTGCCATTTCGCCAGTCCTTCCCCCTCTGCCCCCAGAACTCGTTCACCAACCAAACTCGTCTTTAGACACCCTACACGTTGCTCCTTCTGAGGCCGATTTAGATGTAACTTCTGTTTATATACTGTCCCTGGACTTGACTGTAAATTGTGAAGAGCTTAGTGTAAATGGATTGAGGGTAGAAAGCTCTGCAAATAATAAATCGGATGATCTTGGCTTTTCTGAGAGTAACATAGATTACGAAGAAGAGACATTAAAACAAGATGAGACAGCCTCTCTTCTAGACAACAAGTCTCATGGAAGCACTGAAGCAGCTACAGAAAACACTGGGTCTGGTCCACGCTCATTGTCTGCCAGCAGCAGCAGTGTACGATTTGATGAAAAGTATTACGAGAAAGATAATTTTGACTCCCCAGAGGATGGGACTAATAGTCACATTAGTGAAGGGAACATGACCCTTGATTCCGACCTTCGCACTATATTAGAGTGTCAGCCTGATGACACTCTCTGCAAAAAATTAATTACCGCAACACCTACAATAAACGAGGATGACGAAAATGATTTTATAGAAATTGACTGCGACGTGAAGCCTATGGAGACACTAAAGCGGCCACTGGTATACGGCTACGGCAGCAGCCCCGTCAGGTCTCTCCGAGGGCCCACTTTTCTGGAGAAAAGACTTTCACAAGCCTCAGACGTTTCAGATTATCTGGAGATTGATTTGCTTGAATCTCTCCTTAACAGGGAAGTTCGTAACGAAGGATCCCACTACAATGAGAGTTGTATGGATTTCAAGGAGACATATTGGGACCACTGGCAGGCGAAGAATGAGGCTGAAGAAAGGCTAATAAACAAAAGCAGAATGACTGACAACCCAGTAAACAATCATCATTCAAGACTTCCTAATTGCCCGTCTTCAAGGTTTTGTTATGACCCCGAGGTGCTGCTGGCGCAGGTTAGGTGTCCCAAGTCACTGGAAGACGCGACTTTCAAGCAGTACTCTGCTTACGTCAAGTCTCACATTTATGATCATTTTGGGAATATCCAGGAGAGTCTAAAGAAATACGGATTGCCTTATCGTAGATCAGACTGGATTTCCAGTCAACCTGAATTTCCAGATTTTCCAAGAAACTGTCATGATCATGATACGCTTCCTCTGGATTACTCCAGTGAACCTGAGCTTTCTAACAGCGTGAAAAAACGGCAACCTTGGGCAGAATCGGCTCAAAGTAACCCTCAACATTCTCCCTCCCTGCGACCTGCACCCCTCTCTAGCAGAGACGCTTCCATGGACTCCGGCACCTGGACCTACACGAACTCTGAGGAGTCCACGGTAGTACCATCACCCCTCAGCCGCCACATGCCACCCCTTCCCCGCTCTACCTCCTCCCTCAGTCACGTGGGCCCTGGAGTTTTCAACCCCTGGCACCACCTCCTGCCCGACGTCACCCCACCCAGGACGCCGCGACACAGTGAGTACATTGCACATGACCTTTCCCGTTTAGAGGTTCACATACAGTACGATAATAATAATAATAATAATAATAATAATAATAATAATAATAATAATAATAATAATAATAATAATTACATATGTCACTAACCAACAGTATTCGTAAATTACATCCTTTAGCCACTAAAAGCGGAAAATTATTTAATCGTTGCATTATCATATATACATTTTTTATGTAGTTCCTCGACTTTGCTTCCTTAAAGTGGACATTTTGCTCTTTTTAGGTATGTACTACACCTCATCCTCTCCGTGTGAATCTCGACCTGGCTCGCCCACCCCGTCCCGCTGTTCCAACACTTCCAGGAAGTCGGTTTGTGAACCCATCGCACCACACGACCTCAAGTGGGAGTCTGCCCCTCGGCCAGACCTCAAGTGGAAGCCCTCTCCAGCTCCTGCTCCCCCTCAAACGCCCTCCAAGAAGTCATTCCTACCCAACTTTTCAGCGGTGATGAGATCACCTCTGAGGAAGCACAATATGAAAATAAAAAACACCAAGGAAGAAGGAATGAGGCGAGCAGGAGAACCAGTCCAGGTAAACACCGACACTGCTCAGCTCACCACAAGGCCGAGAGATAAATCTTCCCCGCACACATTTATCCAGAACCGACGACTCACAGGTTTATCCTCAAAGTCTTCGTCATCGTCTTCGTCATCGTCGTCGGCGTCGAGTAAGGACAGTGTGACGACGGTGATCTCGGCGCCGCCGCGGAGTAAAGGACCCAACTGGTTAATGAAGCATTTCGGCAGCAACAAGAACAGGAACTCAGCGGCTGTTTGAGTTAATGGGGCAGAGTTCCACGGCTCTTTGAGTGAGGGTACGGGGGTCCGTAATAAATGTTTGAGTGATGGAGCTGAAATTCCACGGCTGAGTGACAGTACGGGTTTTAGACATCTTTATGAGTAACGGTGTCGCCAAGGTTTTACGGCAGTTGCAGTAACTGGGCGAGGGTTAAACAAATGTTCGAGAAACAGGTCGAGAGTCTGTCTGCTGTTTAAAATTGACGGAAAAGTAGTTCCCTGGCTGTTTGAGTGACAGGGAGAGGGTTTACCGGCTGTTTAAGTGACGGGACGGGAGTTCCCTGACTTAGTGACAGGACACTCATAATAAAAGCCCTCCACTAAAAAAAAACAAAAATCTGTCTTAGTCTACATATGGCTGAATAGATAAACTATGGCTATTACCTGTCTGTCCAGAGATTCATCTGTCAATCCTCTTCAACGCCGCGTAGGGACGTTGATCTATTAACTGTCTATTTATGTATTCATCTATTTAACCTAGTCTGTTGTCGTAAACGAGGTGGAGAATGTACATATGCTGTTGCTATCACGGTGGCCATGACAGGTGTTTATTATCGTCTTGCAGGTATCAGATACAAAATCTTCCAAGTCACGTGAAACAAGCGTTGGTAACCAACGGGTGATAATGCGACATGTGTTTAAGGCATTTTTGCAGGTGCTGGGTAGGACAATAGTGCCACCTTGCAGGTGTTGAAAATTTTGTGTTCGAGTCCCAGAAGGAAGAGGCTCGACATATGTTTTTAATAACTTCAAAATACGTGTCGTCTTGGAAAGGGTAACTTATGAAGTGTGGCGCCCTCGAAATGTAAATGACGACAGTTGTGTTATTAGCTTAGATTAATCAGTAATTATAGGCGAGATGCAGTGTAGAATTATAAGAATAACTACAAGTTATAGCAGATGCTGTTTTCTCGATGTGACGTCACCAAAAAAACGCGTATATGCGGCGGTGACGTTATAAGGAGTGAGGGAAGGGTTTTGGGTGCAGTAGACCTCCAGTAGTGTACAGTAGGCCTACAATAGATGCGGTAGGTCTACTGAAGTGTTATGTATAAGACTATAATAAAGATGTAAGGAGGCCTACAGTACAGGGTGTAACAGACCCAAAATATTTGATCAAATATAACTACAATAAATAGTCGGTATACAATAATGCAGGCCTAAAGTGCAATGCAGTAGGCCTACAGTTACAGTATATAATGCAATAGGCTTACAGTACAATGCAGCTGACCTAAAGCAAGATGCAGAGCTACAGAAGAGTACAGTAGACCTACAGTAGTTCCGTAGGCCTTCAGTATAGTGCAATAGGCCTACAGTAGTTCCGTAGGCCTTCAGTATAGTGCAATAGGCCTACAGTAGTGCCGTATGCCTTCATTATAGTGCAGGTCTACAGTAACGCTATAGACCTGGTGCAGTAGGCCTTCAACATAGCGCAGGCCTACAGTAAAGGGTGTTGGTGGCGGAGTGAGACTACTGACGTAAGGGAAATAATAGCCTTTATTTTCATATATAATGATGCTTATTAGTTAGGACGGCATAATTTTTGTACTTCTTCTTCTTTCATTGTTTGAAAAATATTTATAAACCCAAAGTTTTAGAGTGGTTAGGTTCCTCGTTAGGTTAGCTTGTCACTAGGAGACGTGGTCTGACCACACAGACTCCCAACATACCCCTCATTAGGGTAGCTTGTCACTAGGAGACGTGGTTTGACCACATCATATCCACAAACATACTCCAACATGTCCCTCGTATTAGCAATATATAACCAGGAACCCATCAATGCACAATGCTCATATCTGCTCCCCCTTAAAATACCTGAAAGCCCTTAAAATACCTGAAATCCCTTAAAATACCTGAAAGCCCTTAAAATACTTGAAAGCCTTAACATATCATTAAAGAACAATGTTGAAATGTGAGTTTCAATTAACCTATTATAATTAATATGTATTAGTTTTATGTAAATAAAAAAAATATTTAGTGCTTGACAAAAATTATAATGATCAGTTAAATCACTATTTCCCGTCTAAAAAGTGATTATAACTGAATCTAACGAAGTAAAAATATAAAAACAGCATAACTTAAGGCGCCTGGAAAGTGGGGGTAATTAAATTTGATTCAGGGAAGAGTGGCGCCCGTTCCTCGGATCAGGAGTCCTTCATTAACATCAAGACACTACTTTTCCCCCTCGAAGGAAAATGTATTAACAACAGTGAAGTGAATGCAGCGCGGTAAACCTACACGAATTTACCGCTTTCTGAAAAATTTACATACTTTTTTCACCCATAGCAGCCAAAGTAAACTACCTGAAAAACAAATTATGTCTGATTTTTTTTAGGCATTGGGAGATATGGTTACGATATTTTGTGTAATTGCAAATTCTTAATTAACAACAAAACTGTTTTGTTAGCCTGACCTGAACGTGTAAGGACAAAAACAATATAGCATTGTTTAGTTCACAACGTCTTCGGTAATATTAGCTAATAATATTATTAATATTATTAATAATATCTTAATACTGCTTAATTCACATGTCTTTAGTACTCAACAAGTCATAACAAAAATAAATGTATGTTGGGCTGGTGTGGTAAAATAATCATTGTTGAGTAAGCAAAGTCAGCAAACTTTGACTATAAGCCTTACATAATAACATTATGATGTGAATGTGCAACAATGTCTGGATTTTTATGGTTATTATATTCATGGAGAAACGGGAAGTCGGTACTGGTTATATGGCGCCTAGAGGGAGAGAGGTTATCAGGGTTGATATGAAGAAAGGGTGTGTGGTAAGAATTTCTCGAATCGCGAAGCACTGTGTGGAGATAAACTTTTGCGAAGATCACTGTAGTGTGTTGTAGGGGACGAAGAAGGTATAGGGGCTGTGGTAGGGGGAATGGAAGGCGTTGAAGCTTGGGGGGTTGTTGAAGCTTGATGGGGTGTTGAAGCTTTGGGGGTTATTGATGCTTAGGGGGTTACTGAATCTTTGAGGGTCGTTGAAGCTTGGGAAACTGTTGAAGCTTGGGAGGTTATTGAAGTTCGGGACATTGTTGAAGCTTGGAGAGGTATGGAAGCCTGGGGCGTTGTTTAAGACTGAAGGGGCAATGAAGCCTGGGGAAGTATTGAGGCTTGAGGGGACATTGTCTTGATATAGCGACACTGGCACTGTGAAGTCGCTGCTGGAGGTGCTACGAAGGAAGCCTCCCTGAGCACCTTGGATCATGCTGGGAGGAGCCAGGAGAGGTAACTGGAAGGAATCTGGCAGCTGCAAGTGTCCATCCACCAGCTCCGTCCGCAGTAAGTTGACTGGTAAGATGGCCTTCCCCATGCACAAGCCTTCGTCTGCACAAGGAAAGGGAGAGTTGAAGAGAATATTACTTTTATAATATCCACATTCACAACTTACAGATCGTAAGTGAAAGCAAACCACTTTTCCATCCTTCCTGGACCTAATTTATTTAGAAAAAAGTAAGAAAATTTTTTTACTGATTTTTTCGACGTTTCAGAGCGGTCCGAGGAGGTTTCTAATGCATACTATTTTAGCTGTAATATTTTCTGAACTTTTATTTCCAATATCTGAGTTTGTTGTGAACTGTTTCAGCTACTGTACTGTTGATGTTAGTATCCAAAACGGTTGGGATCCTCTCCAAGATACGATACTACGTGCCGCAAAATGCCCTTCTCACACTATACCACTCACTTATTTATCCATACCTCACCTATGCTATTTGTGCTTGGGGATCAACTGCAGCAACACACCTAAAGCCAATAATAACCCAACAAAAAGCTGCAGTAAGAATAATCACTAAATCCCATCCCTGGCAACACCCCCCCCCCCACTCTTCATAGATCTAAACTTACTCCCTGTTCAGTACATCCACACTTACTACTGTGCAATCTACATCTACAGGACCTAAAACTCCAATATCAACCTTGACCTAAAACGCTTTCTTGATAGTTGTGACAGAACCCACAGGCATAACACCAGACACAAACATCTCTACGACATTCCCCGTGTCCGACTAAACCTTTACAAAAATTCAATGTATGTCAAAGGCCCTAAAATCTGGAACACCCTACCTGAGAACTCTAGAACTGCAGACACATTCATCACTTTCAAAACTACCATTAGAAAACATCTTATCTCCCTGATACACCCCATCAACTAACTACACGAATACCACCTGGTGGTTCACACTTACACTCACTCACTCATTTGACCATAAACAGAAATATTAATCTCAATCTTAAAATAATGAATCCTGTGATACTCCAATACTGAAGCTATGTACTGTGCCAAAACAAAAGCATTCACATTGCTAAACTCACAAACTAGTATTTAGTCACTTAGCCATAATACCAACTTACCTCATAATTTGTAATATTTTAAAATTAAGAATTAAACTAAGTCTGCCCGAAATGCCTAGCCATGCTAGATGTTCTAGTGGTACACTCTGTAATCATTATTTAACTACATGTAAACCACACAATAACCAAATTCTGTAAACTCAGCATTGTAATCCTTATAGAGAATAAACTTTGAATTGAATTGAATTGAATATGCACATTTCTGCACCACAAAATACTTACCTTGTTATACATCATTATTCTGCTCAACACTACATGCGCTTATAGTCATCAAATATCTTTCCTACGCACTGAATACATTTGACGCACATCAAGTAGTCACCCAACATGCAGCAAACATTTCTGGCGCACATCAAGCAGTCACCCAACATGCAGCAAACATTTCTGGCGCACATCAAGCAGCCACCCAACATGCAGCAAACATTTCTGGCGCACATCAAGCAGCCACCCAACATGCAGCAAACATTTCTGGCGCACATCAAGCACTCACCCAACATGCAGCAAACGTTTCTGGCGCACACATCAAGCAGTCACCTAGCATGCAGCAAACATTTCTGGCGCACATCAAGCAGTCACCCAACATGCAGCAAACATTTCTGGCGCACATCAAGCAGCCACCCAACATGCAGCAAACATTTCTGGCGCACATCAAGCAATCACCCAACATGCAGCAAACACTTCTGGCGCACATCAAGCAGTCGCCCAACGAGCAGCAAACACTTCTGGCATACATGAAACATTCCCAATAAGCAGAAAACACTTCTGGTGCACATCAAGCATCCACTCAATACGCAGCAAACACTTCTCGCGTGCAGCAAAACATTCCTTAACAGGCAACAAGCGCTTCAGCGCGCACAAACTATCCACAGTAAGTAGCAAACACTTGACGCGCATCAAACTTTTCGCTAATAAGCAGAAAACGCTTCTGGCGCACATGAAACATTCCTTAACCAACAACAAATACTACTGGTGCACATGAAACATTCCCCAATAAACAGCAAACATTTCTGGCTCACTTTACAAATTCCCAATAAGCAGCAAATACTTCTGGCGCACATCAGAGAATCCCCAATAAACAACAAACATTTCTGGCGCACATCAAGTATTCCAACACGCTGAAAATGGAAGCCTACAGACAGTGTAAAATACGACCTATGAATATACAAAGAACCTACAGAAGAACCAAGGGTTATCGTCCCTCTTTCTCAAAAAAATGTTCCAATAAAAGAAACAAACATGGACATAAATTACCGAGAAAAAAAATTAAAACACCAGCACTCGACAGGAAAAATAAACAGAAGAAAATTAAAGAGCACTGGCTGTGCTTACAAACATAAAAGTGACATTGTAAATCTAGGTAAAGATTCACTCAAAACACTTTACTCCATACATGCAATTCATTCTTGAGTATGCAGCACCAGTGTCGAACCCACAACTATTCAAATACAAAGTGAAACTTGAGAAAGTGCACAAGGGAGCGACAAGACTAGGGCTGAGTTGAGGGAAATGACTTACTAAAGAGAAAGAGTGAAGGAATTAGGCCCCACATTACTGGAAAAGTGAGGAGTAAGATGTGATCACAATATACAAAATACTACAAGGCGTAAAAGAGTAGACATGGATGGATTCTATACCATAGGTTCATAAACAGGTATGGCAAGGCTCAACCATTGTAGGCAGCCGAAAGATAAGAAACGGAACCAAGAGTTGAAGCTCAACCCCAGGAAACTCAAATTGGTAATTACAAAGAGGTAACTGAACACACACACACACACAGGGAGAGAGTGGACCTAGTAGCGACCAACGAAGAAGCGAGGCCAGGAGCTAAGACTCGACCCCTGCAACCAAAAACAGATGGGGTGAGTACACACATACACCACACACACACACACGCACACACACACAGGTGGGGCCAGGAGCTGTGAATCGACCCCAGCAACTACATATTGGTAAATACACACACATACAAAGCTGAGGTACCTACCATAGCTGCTGAGTCTGCACATTTGGCGACGCTGGTCGAAGACTGTACCAGCGGGACACACGTAACGCACACCCGGGATGTCACACTGATAATACACGTTACAGTGTGTCACGTGCTGCACGTACTGATGCTTACACGCCTGTGTAGTAACACACACACACATTTAGTAACGAACACTAAAATTTCTGAAATTAGCTGCATGAGCACAGGCCAGTAGCATGTGTTGCACGTTTACCAGATGAATGATCGAGCCTGAACCGGTTCTTACTCTGAATCAACCACATATAATAATAATAATAATAATAATAATAATAATAATAAACAATAATATACGTTTCGTAACAGAGTTATCACTCACTATATAATACTGTTGAGGTTACCTATATTAAATATTTATCTATTTATCACTGCGTCTATAGTTTTATGTGACGTCATAAAACCGATATCTTTTGTTTCTTGTTTGTTTGCAACAAACAGTTTTAATTAATGAAGGTCCAAGCATCACTCTCTGGATCAGTGCGACAGTGTTGACAATGGTATCAAATATCGACGACTTGGACACCAAGACACGGGGGCAGCAGCTGGGTATCCTTGTTCTTGAAACGTTTCGTCTACACGGTTCATTACCTTGTACCTAGTTCAGCCATCAAAACTTTGGAGCCCGGTCCCTGGACCCATTGTGTACCTCTGTAATCTGTAAATACCTTTGTAACTTGTCATGATTGTGACTAGACCTACCTGGAGTTCATTACCTTTGTAAATTGTGAGTTCATTACCTTTGTAAATTGTGAATTCATTACCTCTGTAACTTGCTCAGCTATCAAAACTTTGAGGCCCAGTCCCTGGACCCATTATGTACCTCTGTAATCTTTTGACTACCGCCCACAGGATGGGTATGGGCTGCATAATAAACATATTAAACTAAACTACACGGTAGGCTTTATCAGTCAAATACAGAGACAGCAGAGGCAGTAGAGATGAAAAGACGATGTTATCAGTCCATTACCCTGGAAGACGTAGTGTTGAGGTGGTCAGTCCCTCATCAGCCTGGAGAAGAGTTCAGCTGAACTCTTCGATATGTGAAAAAGTCAAGTAAATTTATTTTCGATCTGACGAGGCATTTCCCATTCAACTTTTTTTTGGTCATAAACCCAGTGCCACAGAAAAAAAAATCTGTATGTGCCTCCAAGGTTTCGTGGTTGTTTTAAATTTTCTGACGACTATGGACCTGATAAAAAAAAAGTTGATTACAATGTCTGAATAGATCATCGTTGGTAACAACGTTACTGTACCTGGTAGATCATCGTTGGTAACAACGTTACTGTACCTGGTAGATCATCGTTGGTAACAACGTTACTGTACCTGGTAGATCATCGTTGGTAACAACGTTACTGTGCCTGGTAGATCATCGTTGGTAACAACGTTACTGTACCTGGTAGATCATCGTTGGTAACAACGTTACTGTACCTGGTAGATCATCGTTGGTAACAACGTTACTGTACCTGGTAGATCATCGTTGGTAACAACGTTACTGTATCTGGTAGATCATCGTTGGTAACAACGTTACTGTGCCTGGTAGATCATCGTTGGTAACAACGTTACTGTATCTGGTAGATCATCGTTGGTAACAACGTTACTGTACCTGGTAGATCATTGTTGGTAACAACGTTACTGTATCTGGTAGATCATCGTTGGTAACAACGTTACTGTGCCTGGTAGATCATCGTTGGTAACAACGTTACTGTACCTGGTAGATCATCGTTGGTAACAACGTTACTGTACCTGGTAGATCATCGTTGGTAACAACGTTACTGTACCTGGTAGATCATCGTTGGTAACAACGTTACTGTACCTGGTAGATCATCGTTGGTAACAACGTTACTGTACCTGGTAGATCATCGTTGGTAACAACGTTACTGTACCTGGTAGATCATCGTTGGTAACAACGTTACTGTACCTGGTAGATCATCGTTGGTAACAACGTTACTGTATCTGGTAGATCATCGTTGGTAACAACGTTACTGTGCCTGGTAGATCATCGTTGGTAACAACGTTACTGTACCTGGTAGATCATCGTTGGTAACAACGTTACTGTACCTGGTAGATCATCGTTGGTAACAACGTTACTGTACCTGGTAGATCATCGTTGGTAACAACGTTACTGTACCTGGTAGATCATCGTTGGTAACAACGTTACTGTATCTGGTGGTTCTCGTAATTTCCTCTGGATCTCCATCATTTATTAGCCTCAACTTTTCTTAAAACTCAAGAGTCTCTCTTGCATATTAACGTTATCTCTTTACCCTAACTTATTCCTTCAAAGTTGTGAAAGTTTCAATCGATTTTTTCCGTTATTTAAGAATAAAGTGTTGACGTGGCCGCTCTGGTATTCATGTCGTAAGCCCATAAAATCTTATAATTTTGTATATATTGCGGTTTCTGTAAACATTAGAACACTTAATAATATTAATTTCTTAAGTGGTGGAGGGGTGAGCCAGTGGAAGGCCTCGGTCAGATGACTAAAATTACAGCTGTGGGTTATCATATGACTAAGACCAGCGTCAGGAACCACTTGCCCTGTTTCCTGACGTCTTACACAGCCTAACTTAAGCACGTTGGACTCAAATAAAACTTACTTATCTACCTACTTATAACTAACTTGTAATCGTGACATTTTCAGTTTAGTTTATAGATGATATATAGCCTATACTTTTAAGTAATTTTTTGGAAAGTGGCCTTATTTCATTTAGCTTTAATAGTTACGTAGATTACACTGATTTGAATATGAGAAGAAGTGGTTGGTTATCTGTGCTTAATTAAAAGCCAGTTGATACGCGAAAGTCATTAAGGCTGCAGGTCACTTGTTCTCCAGCAATCAAAAATACTTTTATCCTGTATAGGGATTAAAGTAAACTCTAAGTGTACACAAACTGACATATATAACCCTCAATGGGTACGTCCACTGCTTCTATCAGTACACACACAGGAGAAGGTTAGGTAAGGTTTGTCAGGAAACAGGACGAAGTGTTAACTGAAGTGGGTCGTAGTCAGCTTGTGGTCATCTGACCGAGGCCTTCCTCTGGCTTACAGGTCCATCTCTTTAAAAATTATGGTTATGATTATAACCACTTATTAATTACTACCCACACACAAACACATAGAACTAGTCTCACCAGAATATATACATAGGATCAGAATTTATGAACTACGGATAACATTGAAATATGGCATTAATTTGTTTATAACGAAAAAATCTATCATACAATCAACTTATAATCCTCTACAGAAAACGGTATGATTTAACTTATCGTTTGTCTAAACAGAATTATAATTAAGAATACTGAACTGAGTTTACTGTGGTGTGATATCGTCAACGAATCTGAGATTTGTACCTCGTCGAGTGGAGACCTTGTGGTAGAAGCCTCAGTGGGTGTGCCTGTAGTTGGTTCATTTTGGTCTGAAATCTCATTGATGGATTCCTCTGGCGTGGAGGCTTCAGTTATGGGCTGGGTTGTGGAGGTAGGGCCGTCAGGCTGGAACGGGGAAGCAGTTGGTGGTTGAACAGGTGAGGCAATAGGTGTTTGCTGAGGTGTATCGGGGGATTGTTGGACTTGTGTATCTGGAGGTGGTTGGACAGGTGTATCTGGAGGTGGTTGGACAGGTGTATCTGGAGGTGGTTGGACAGGTGTTTCGGGAGTTAGTTGGACAGGTGAACCATTAGATGTCTGGACAGGTGTAATGACGGGTCCTTGGCGACGACAGATGCTAGGGATGCAGGTGGCCGCCTGGACGCTGAAGGTGTGGCCGGAGGGGCACTCGAATACATAGCGGACGAAGAACTTTCCTGTCCCAGTGAAGTCCACACACCTGCAACACAACCCAAGTTAGTGGTACACATGTGCTGTAAACCTGACACTCACCTCATAATAGTGGTATACATGTACTTTACACCTGATAATTACCTCATAATAGATACACACGTGCTTTACACCAGATACTCACCTCTAACAGAAACGCAAGTCGCTTACACCTGACACCGCATTACAGTGGGGACAGATACCTATTTAGGTAGAGTTGCTGGTCATATGACAGAGGCATTCCTCTGCCTTACTAATACCACCCTGTATTTTTTTACATATCATATAGTGGTATGTCTTTTATACCACACAAGAAAAAACGATCCCCACACAACAATGCCCTAGTATTACCAAACATAAGATATCGTCGACTTTTACCACCAAAGACATGACTACTATATTTGATGTGCAACCCTGGACACTTGTAGGTCACTGAGCGAGAGTAATGATGGAGGCTCCATCCTCCGTCCAGTGAACGCGTCACAAATATATCATCTAGCTGTGCTCAGCTAATTGTCCATCATTAATGACGGTAATACAGCTAGGATAATACTATAGCTTTACCTCGTTTTAGCTCACCACTCATGATACGAGCTGTCTCATGAGTGGTGAAGTGTCTCATGAGTGAAGTGTCTCATGAGTGAAGTGTCTCATGAGTGGTGAAGTGTTTCATGAGTGGTGAAGTGTTTCATGAGTGGTGAAGTGTCTCATGAGTGGTGAAGTGTCTCATGAGTGGTGAAGTGTCTTATGAGTGGTGATCTGAGACTTAGAGACAAATACATCATTCTACGGATTTCAAGTTGCTCATAATCTAATATTTGTACGTATTAGTCTACGTTAAAAAAAAATTATATTTAGACATACTGTAATTTAGTATACCATCCATATATTGTAAGTCAGTCTCACACACACACACACACACACACACACACACACACACACACACACACACACACAACTGCTGCAGCAAACGGGCGTCTAACAAACCTAAGAATAGCTTTCCGATATTTAAGTAAGGAGTCGTTCAAGAATCTACACCGTGTACGTCAGGCCCATACTGAAGGATGCAGCACCAGTTTGGAACCCACACCTGGGCAAGCACGTCAGGAAATTAGAGAGAGTACAAAGATTTGCAACGAGACTAGTCCCGGAGTTAAGGGGCATGTCCTACGAGGAGAGGTTAAGAGAAATTGACCTGACGACACTGGAGGACAGGAAGGACAGGAGGGACATGATAACAACATATAAAATACTGAGGGGAATCGACAAGGTGGACAGAGATAAGATGTTCTAGAAATGGGACACAACAACAAGGGGTCACAGTTGGAAATTGAAAACCCAGATGAGTCACGGAGATGTTAGGAAGTATTTCTTCAGTCACAGAGTTGTCAGGAAGTGGAATAGTCTGGAAGGTGATGTAGTGGAGGCAGGATCCACAAATAGCTTTAAGAAGAGGTATGATAAAGCCCACGGAACAGGGAGTGATCTAGTAGCGACCAGTGAAGAGGCGGGGCCAGGAGCTATTAATCGAACCCTGTAACCACAAATAGGTGAGTACACACACACACATATATATATATATATATATAATATATATATATATATATATATATATATATATATATATATAATATATATATATATATAAATATATATAATGAATGCAAGAAAGTGGATGTTTTTATAGGTAAAAATACGTGGTGGGCAGCAACGAGTAATGGCAGGAGGGGAAGACAAGCAATTGGTGCTATTTATAGTTACATAAACATTAACTATTGGAAATTCGTGAAAACTGTTTTAATGAAAAATGTTTGAAAAATAAAAAAAAGTTGAAAAGTTGGCAGTTTCCCTGAATCCAATTTGAGTTGTCTGGTCGTTAATTATATTTATTTATTTAGTTTAATATATGTAACACAGCTGGGGGTAATTTAATTGTTATTTTTTTGTAACAAACTACGTTCACGTCAGATTATTTTGCTTGGTATATACAGAGTTTGTTATAGGTGTAGAGTGAGTCATCTTGTACCTACTGCCTCTCTTCACCTAGTAGTAAATAGGTACCTGGCTGGTAATCACTTGTCGTAGGTCCTATCTCGAGCGGAAAAATTCTGTGGCTGTTAGTAGCGACCAGTGAAGAGGTGGGACCAGGAGCTATGAGTCGACCCCTGTAACCACAATTAGCTAAGTGGACAGCGAGTTCACTTCGCAACGAAAGGAACCCGGGTACGATTCCCAGGCACGGTGATACATATGGGCAACTTTCCTTACACCTACTTCCCCCCCCCCCCCTGTTCACCTAACATTAAATAGGTACCTCGGTGTTAGTCACCTTCTGTGGGTCACATTCGGGGGGGGGGAGTTAGCATTATACCAAAGATGGAGCCAGATTTTGAAATTAACATGTGTAGATTAGCATCTATTACCTTGTAAAATTGTGTAAGTGTAAATAATAATAATAATAATAATAATAATAATAATAATAATAATAATAATAATAATAATAATTATAATTATAAATACAGCAGCAGCATCGCTCTGCTTCCTTTAGTGTACTATTATACATACAGACAAAATTAATTTCTGTGTATTCTTAGCCTACATGTGGATTTCATTTATATGCTGACAAGTATGGCCAACACTATAATATACAGTATATATATATGTGTGTGTGTGTGTGTGTGTGTGTGTAGACCTACCTATAAAACCTGGAACAGTTCCTGGGGTGGTTGTAGAAGCCTACGACCGGGCAGGGCAGGTTGGCGTCTTCAGGATCCCTAGTTGAGCGAATTTCCGGCACCTGTCGCACTGAAACACATGAAGACTTATTGTCTTATTACTGCATTTTATGTGAAGCTCTAGACCCGTTCCTATCATTCAGGCTCGAACTTACCTTCACTGTAAATGAAATCTCATAGCTCAAGCTGACAGGTTTCATTACTTCATGTGAGAAACCCATGGTGTGTAATGGAGTATGATTTAAAATATGATTTATGTGTAATAGCGTCTGACAGGAAACCCATTCTGTGTAATGATTTACGTCAAGAAAGCCAGGCTTTGTAATAGAGTATAAGAGGAAATCCATCGTTTGTGGTGGGGCATGACAGGAAAACTACCCTGTGTGATGGAGTATGACAGGAAAACTACCCTGTGTGATGGAGTATGACAGGAAAACTACCCTGTGTGATGGAGATGACAGGAAAACTACCCTGTGTGATGGAGTAGGACAGGAAAACTACCCTGTGTGATGGAGTATGACAGGAAAACTACCCTGTGTGATGGAGTATGACAGGAAAACTACCCTGTGTGATGGAGTATGACAGGAAAACTACCCTGTGTGATGGAGTATGACAGGAAAAACTGCCCTGTGTGATGGAGTATGACAGGAAAACTACCCTGTGTGATGGAGTATGACAGGAAAACTGCCCTGTGTGATGGAGTATGACAGGAAAACTGCCCTGTGTGATGGAGTATGACTGTAAAACTACCCTGTGTGATGGAGTATGACTGTAAAACTACCCTGTGTGATGGAGTATGACAGGAAAACTACCCTGTGTGATGGAGGATGACTGTAAAACTACCCTGTGTGATGGAGTATGACAGGAAAACTGCCCTGTGTGATGGAGTATGACAGGAAAACTGCCCTGTGTGATGGAGTATGACAGGAAAACTACCCTGTGTGATGGAGTATGACAGGAAAACTACCCTGTGTGATGGAGGATGACTGTAAAACTACCCTGTGTGATGGAGTATGACAGGAAAACTACCCTGTGTGATGGAGTATGACAGGAAAACTACCCTGTGTGATGGAGTATGACAGGAAAACTACCCTGTGTGATGGAGTAGGACAGGAAAACTACCCTGTGTGATGGAGTATGACAGGAAAACTACCCTGTGTGATGGAGTATGACAGGAAAACTACCCTGTGTGATGGAGTATGACAGGAAAACTACCCTGTGTGATGGAGTATGACAGGAAAACTGCCCTGTGTGATGGAGTATGACAGGAAAACTACCCTGTGTGATGGAGGATGACTGTAAAACTACCCTGTGTGATGGAGTATGACTGTAAAACTACCCTGTGTGATGGAGTATGACTGTAAAACTACCCTGTGTGATGGAGTATGACAGGAAAACTACCCTGGGGTGATGGAGTATGACAGGAAAACTACCCTGTGTGATGGAGTATGACTGTAAAACTACCCTGTGTGATGGAGTATGACTGTAAAACTACCCTGTGTGATGGAGTATGACAGGAAAACTACCCTGTGTGATGGAGTATGACTGTAAAACTACCCTGTGTGATGGAGTATGACAGGAAAACTACCCTGTGTGATGGAGTATGACAGGAAAACTACCCTGTGTGATGGAGTATGACTGTAAAACTACCCTGTGTGATGGAGTATGACTGTAAAACTACCCTGTGTGATGGAGTATGACAGGAAAACTACCCTGTGTGATGGAGTATGACAGGAAAACTACCCTGTGTGATGGAGTATGACAGGAAAACTACCCTGTGTGGAGTATGACTGTAAAACTACCCTGTGTGATGGAGGATGACTGTAAAACTACCCTGTGTGATGGAGGATGACTGTAAAACTACCCTGTGTGATGGAGTATGACAGGAAAACTACCCTTGTGGTGGAGTATGACAGGAAAACTACACTGTGTGATGGAGTATGACAGAAAAACTACCTTGTGTGATGGAGTATGACAGAAAAACTACCCTGTGTGATGGAGTATGACAGAAAAACTACGTTGTGTGATGGAGTATGACAGAAAAACTACCTTGTGTGATGGAGTATGACAAGAAAACTACCCTGTGATGGAGTATGACAGAAAAACTACCTTGTGTGATGTATGACAGAAAAACTACCCAGTGTGATGGAGTATGACAGGAAAACTACCCTGTGTGATGGAGTATGACAGGAAAACTACCCTGTGTGATGGAGTATGACAGGAAAACTACCCTCTGTGATGGAGTATGACAGGAAAACTACCCTGTGTGATGGAGTAGGACAGGAAAACTACCCTGTGTGATGGAGTAGGACAGGAAAACTACCCTGTGTGGTGGAGTATGACAGGAAAACTACCCTGTGTGATGGAGTATGACAGGAAAACTACCCTGTGTGATGGAGTATGACAGGAAAACTACACTGTGTGATGGAGTATGACAAAAACTACCCTGTGTGATGGAGTATGACAGAAAAACTACCTTGTGTGATGATGTATGACAGAAAAACTACCCAGTGTGATGGAGTATAACAGAAAAACTTGCCTGTTTGATGGAATTTGGCAGGACATTTATCTTGTGCTACGGTGTATAACAGGAAAGCTGTCCTGTTATGGAGTATAACAAGAAAACTATCCTCTGTGATGGAGAATAGGAAAACTATCCTGTGTGATAGAAAAAAACCATCCTGCATAATGGAATATGATACGATATCTTCATTGTATAATGTAGTATAACAGGGAGAATAATTCTGTTCAGCAGGTGAACACCGTAGTTCTTGATCTAGCTTGTAAAGTGTAGCCTCAGAGTGCGGCTCTATTTAGATTTCTTAATCATAAAAGACTTCTCCACTATGCAAGAGATGTAATATGTGCTCATATTAGTTTATTACTATTTTCTAAGCACCATAACACGGGTATTGCACCTTTAATGAAGCTTGTGGGCAATACCGGCTTTCTGAGGTTGTTACGCCAGATCTACCTCTTTCAAAACACCAGTTAATAACCTCGCAACAGGAGCAGTTTAGTACCCTTAATAATATTTTTTTTTGCAACAAACCGGCCGTATCCCTCCAAGGCAGAGTGACCTAAAAAGAAAAACGAAAGTTTTTCTTTTTAAATTTAGTAATTTATACAGGAGAAGCATGGCTCACGGAGGAAGAATTCTGTTCCACTTCCACATGGAGATAATAATTAATGTTACTACAGTAATATGCACTAATACTAGCACAAAAATTAACATACGAACGGTTATTTCACAATCTCTGACACTCATATACAGTCTTAATCTCGGAATGGCATACTTATATCCAAAGTGCATAAGCGAAATCAGTAGCTAAGCTGCCTGTTTGTGTAAAAAATATATACACCAAGGAGGACTGAGGAGTATGAGAGGAAACCCATTCTGTGATGTATCTGTCTAGTAAACACTTAGTTCTTCTTATGTTAGGTTAGATAAGAGTTGTCAGGAAACAGGACAAATGTTTCCTGACTCGTGTCTTATTCATATGATGACCCGCAGTTGTAGCTTTTGGTCATGTGGCCGAGGCCTTCCGCTGGTTTACCCCTCTACCATCTAAAAATTATGGATATAATTATAACCATTTAATATTAATTCTTTTAACCTGGTGAGGTCTTATATAAATCACAGTAGCCACACAATAGCGTGTATTTAATTATAACAAATACATTATAACTAACTTTCCTGCTTTTGCTGCCAGATCTGTCTTAACAATTTTAACCCTTACTCCCCTTCCTCAAATTTCTTCTTTTACTCCTAAATAAAACAAAAGAAGATACTTACTAAGGAGGGAGGGATTGTGGAAGATGGTAGGTGTGTGGTGGAACACTGGGGTGTAGAACAACGTAGGTAAGCTACGTACTGACGTCCCTCCCATAGTTACCCCTAAACCAGCCACTATAACAAGCACAGTACGCAGCATCTGAGAAAAATATGTAAATGTAAAAAGCAGTTTACTAAGAAGTGAAATTTATTTTCATTATTTTACAAACTTTAATTGGTGTATTTTATTTTTAATTCCAATTAATCGGTATAGATTCAATAAAGCAAAATTTTGTGGAAAAATAATTTACATAGATTGCTGGCACGTGATCCCCCCAAGAAATATATGTAACTCAGTAAATGACAATAAAATATTATAAATAGCGCGAAATATAATACAAAATGCTACTGCATCATACAATAAAACACAGAACAAAGTATTGTATAATACATCAAAGATGGCAGCCAGAAGCCCACTCTCTCAGCCGAACAGAAAACGGAAACCAATTTTATTTGATGCTCGAATTTTTTGTTTATTCCGACATTGATTATTATATATTATGGTGAAGGTGATAGCGGTGATGGTGAAAGTGATTCCGGTGGTGGTGGAGGTGATACTGGTGATGGTGACATTGGTATGTGATGGTAAGGGTGAGGGTGATGTGATTGTGAGGGGTTGGTTGTGATGGTGAGGGTGATGTGATGGTGAGGGGTTGGTTGTGATGGTGAGGGTGATGTGATGGTGAGGGTTGGTTGTGATGGTGAGGGTGATGTGATGGTGAGGGGTTGGTTGTGATGGTGAGGGTGATGTGATGGTGAGGGGTTGGTTGCGATGGGAGGGGTTGGTTGTGATGGTGAGGGTGATGTGATGGTGAGGGGTTGGCTGTGATGGTGAGGGGGATGTGATGGTGAGGGGTTGGCTGTGATGGTGAGGGGGATGTGATGGTGAGGGGTTGGTTGTGATGGTGAGGGATTGGCCGTGATGGTGAAGGATTGGTTGTCATGGTGAGGGTGATGTGATGGTGAGGGGTTGGCTGTGATGGTGAGGGGGATGTGATGGTGAGGGTTGGTTGTGATGGTGAGGGTGATGTGATGGTGAGGGGTTGGTTGTGATGGTGAGGGGTTGGTTGTGATGGTGAGGGTGATGTGATGGTGAGGGGTTGGGTTGTGATGGTGAGGGGTTGGTTGTGATGGTGAGGGATTGGCCGTGATGGTGAAGGATTGGTTGTCATGGTGAGGGTGATGTGATGGTGAGGGGTTGGCTGTGATGGTGAGGGGGATGTGATGGTGAGGGTTGGTTGTGATGGTGAGGGATTGGCCGTGATGGTGAAGGATTGGTTGTCATGGTGAGGGTGATGTGATGGTGAGGGTTGCTGTGATGGTGAGGGTTGGTTGTGATGGTGAGGGTGATGTGATGGTGAGGGGTTGGTTGTGATGGTGAGGGGTTGGTTGTGATGGTGAGGGTGATGTGATGGTGAGGGGTTGGTTGTGATGTGAGGGGTTGGTTGTGATGGTGAGGGATTGGCCGTGATGGTGAAGGATTGGTTGCATGGTGAGGGTGATGTGATGGTGAGGGGTTGGCTGTGATGGCGAGGGTGATGTGATGGTGAGGGGTTGGATGTGATGGTGAGGGTGATGTGATGGTGAGGGGTTGGATGTGATGGTGAGGGGTTGGTTGTGATGGTGAGGGCTTGGTTGTGATGGTGAGGGTTGGTTGTGATGTGAGGGCTTGGATGTATGGTGAGGGTTAGTTGTGAGGGTGATGTGATGGTGAGGGGTTGGTTGTGATGGTGAGGGCTTGGATGTGATGGTGAGGGGTTAGTTGTGAGGGTGATGTGATGGTGAGGGGTTGGTTGTGATGGTCATGCTGGTGATGGTAATAATGTCAGGGATGTTATTAGATTATTTACCTACCTGTCTGCAAGTTTTCCATCTGTTTGGTTGCCTGGCTGTCTCCTTGCCTGCCTGCCTGCCTGCCTGCCTGCCTGCCTGCCTCCCTGCCTGCCTGCCTGCCTGCCTGCCTGCCTGCCTGTCTGCCTGCCTGCCTGCCTGCCTGCCTGTCTGCCTGCCTGCCTGCCTGCCTGCCTGCCTGCCTGCCTGTCTGCCTGCCTGCCTGCCTGCCTGCCTGCCTGTCTGCCTCCCTGCCTGCCTGCCTGCCTGCCTGCCTGCCTGCCTGCCTGTCTGCCTGCCTGCCTGCCTGCCTGCCTGTCTGCCTGCCTGCCTGCCTGCCTGCCTGTCTGCCTACCTGCCTGCCTGCCTGCCTGCCTGTCTGCCTGTCTGCCTGTCTGCCTGCCTGCCTGCCTGCCTGCCTGCCTGCCTGTCTGCCTGTCTGTCTGCCTGCCTGCCTGTCTGCCTGCATGCCTCTCTGCCTGCCTGTCTGCCTGCCTGCCTGCCTGCCTGCCTGTCTGCCTGCCTGCCTGCCTGCCTGCCTGTCTGCCTGCCTGCCTGCCTGCCTGCCTGTCTGTCTGTCTGTCTGCCTGCCTGCCTGCCTGTATGTCTGTCTGTCTGCCTACCTGCCTGCCTGCCTGCCTGTCTGTCTGTCTGCCTGCCTGCCTGCCTGTCTGCCTGCCTGCCTGTCTGCCTTCCTGCTTTTCTGCCTGCCTTCCCGCTTGTCTGCCTTCCTGCTTGCCTTCCTGCCTGCCGCCCCATCATCATCAACACGATAATATTCTGGTCACGTAACTCTGGTTTTTACGGCTGGTTACCTTGTGATGGTGTGTGTGTGTGTGTGTGTGTGTGTGTGTGTGTGTGTGTGTGTGTGTGTGTGTGTGTGTGTGTGTGTACTCACCTATTTGTGGTTGCAGGGTTTCTAATCTTAGCTCCTGGTTTTTCCTCTTATATTTCATTCCTATTCTTAAAGCTGTGTATAGATCCTGTCTCTACTACTTCCTTGACCAGATCTGTTATTCCATTTCTATCAACTCTAAGGCTGAAAAAACATAAATCTCGTTGTCTGTGACTTATCTGTGTTTTTAGCTTTAGCTATGCTCTCTTGTACCTATTTCTCGCCCCTCAAACAGCAAGTCCTTGTCTAATCTATTAGTTATTCTAAGTATTGTAGTTAATCCTGTCATCAGTGCTTCCAGTGGCTGCGGCTTCCATATCTCCATCAGCCCCAAATAATAATAATAATAATAATAATAATAATAATAATAATAATACCTAAGTCGCCTTCACCTGTACGTTGATGGTTCGCAGATAAGTGACTGTGCTGGTGTCAGTGTATGATTGCTTAATATATTTTTCACCGGGCAGAATTAAATCCACACCGGTTAAACAACACCTTAAGAATGGGAAGCAGTCAGGTTTGATATGAGGGAAGGGGGAGTACAAGACAAGTCACCTAGCCCCTCTTTTAACTGGACTGCCACCCCTTACATCCTTCCTACATATATATTTTGGAGCCGTCACTGATCGTTCCTAATAACCCTTTTTTTCAGTTTCTTGACATTCTTGGACAGGAGTGGGTTCCATGCTGGTGCTGCATAATCCAAGATTGTCTTGATACATATCGTAGATAGTGGTGTTCTTGAATCTTTGTTTTGATTACCCATCGTGCATATGCTGCACAGTTTGTGGTCGATGTGTGCCGCAGGCGTGATGTATACTGTGTTTATTTCAACCCCTCAGGCTGTACAGACATTAAGTCCTTCGCCAGGGTCAAGGCACCTTCCTTGATGGCAGTGAATTACAGAGGTAAGTGATTTGTAACTATGAGTTGCTAGCATCATTAATAATTCACTGCAGACAGTACCATATCGCATCGATCCTAACACTGTCCTATCATCTATTTTTTAAGCTATCCCATGAAAGCTGCCCGGCAGTAGAAGAAAAAAAAAGATAAAAAACAAAAGTGAACGACAATAGGTAATCCGTTGCCAGTGTTGTATTCGTCAGGGAAAACTACCATGATGAGGATATTAATGAGATGACCGGCTCAGCAGCTCCTTCAACACGAAGAGGCACAACAAGGTGACCAGAGGCCTAGCTTCTCCCTACGAGCCCCCTGAGGGCGGGTACTGTGGCTAGGCCTGGGCACACTTGGTCCCAAAGATGAGGGGGTACTTGTACCTCCTCCCATGGGGGACCTAGGTCTCGAGATACTCCCCAGATAGGGAGCCAAGGCCGGGTCACCACTACTTGGAAAAGACCCGGGCTGGGAGAGTACCGGCGAAAAAAAAAAAAAAAAAGGTCACTGAAACAGATACTGTCTACTGCAGGGGAAAATGAAGACACATGTGGCAGAAAACGCCTCTACAAGGACCGTGTTTCGCTCTAAGGAGAGTGATCACAGTTCTCACCAAGACAAACTGAAGTGTTTATGAATCCGGATTCAAAAGACTGGCTGTGCGCTCGTATTGATTTCCCATCCAGCACGTCGTGACAGATGAAAATATACAGCCAGCCGTAAAGTCTTTCGCACATTGCCAAAAACAGGCACTATTACAATGGATTTTAATAGCCAAGGTTGCATGACTGCACCAACTGCAAGCTTTCAAGGCTATATTTTTAGCTAACCAGCCAAACTGGCTTGACCTCACACGCCATTTACGTCTTCATAATTTCATGCTTTGTTCATCATTGCTGCTTCTGTCTTACACAGAGAACTTGTAAAAACAAAAAAGATTAGTCTCTGTTTTATATTTATATTTTTGGTTTGTGGGCGGTACTGAAGTAAACCAGAGTGGACCCTGGTGTTGACCAGGGTGGACCCTGGTGTTGACCAGGGTGGACCCTGGTGTTGACCAGGGTGGACCCTGGCGTTGCCCAGGGTGGACCCTGGTGTTGACCAGGGCGGACCCTGGTGTTACCCAGGGCGGACCCTGGTGTTGACCAGGGCGGACCCTGGTGTTACCCAGGGCGGACCCTGGTGCTGACCAGGGCGGACCCTGGTGTTACCCAGGGCGGACCCTGGTGTTGACCAGGGTGGACCCTGGCGTTACCCAGGGCGGACCCTGGTGTTGACCAGGGCGGACCCTGGTGTTACCCAGGGCGGACCCTGGTGTTGACCAGGGCGGACCCTGTTGTTACCCAGGGCGGACCCTGGTGTTGACCAGGGTGGACCCTGGCGTTACCCAGGGCGGACCCTGGTGTTGACCAGGGTGGACCCTGGTGTTGACCAGGGTGGACCCTGGTGTTGACCAGGGTGGACCCTGGCGT